AGGCAGCATGAGTGATGTGGACCGACCCTTAGCACATTCCTGCGGCCTTTGACGGTGGATAATGTAGTTTGGGGGCTCCTTATTGTAATTATAATTATGGTATAATATATCCCAAAACCCTATTCTAATGATCAAGGCCACTACATGAAGCCTTTCCGTCCGGGTAGCTGCACGGAGTATCAAGGCGTAAGCGATGGTGCCACGCATGCAGCCGGCCATTCCCTGGGTCGGAACACGGGCAATACCAACAGATCGAGGCTTGCGCGGTGAATTTTAGGGGCCTTAACAATTAGAATAGGGTTGTCGGGCTCAATAAAGGGGGCCGTAATACTTAGAATAGAGTGTTCGGGATCAATAAGGAACCACCAAAAGAGTATAGGTACTTATTTAGGCTCCTACATTATTATCATCCTGAACCGACACGCCCAAGCATTTGCGACATATCTCAACTCTTACTTGATTCCTCCGAGATATCTAGATGCATGCTAGGCTAAGCTGTGGGAGTGCAGGCGATGATCTTACATGCGTCCCTCCCTCTGTGTCTCTCCCTCCCTCCCCTCCCTCCCCGCTACCTATGCATGCATGTGTGCATGTATGTATGAATGTATGTACGTATGTATGGAGTACCCAGAAATGACATATTCGTGCATGGGGACGATAGTCTTGATGGGATTTCCTCTTTCTTTCGCGCTGCCGCTTGATTTCTACGCTGGCACTCTTGGGCAACATGCACAAAATGCACGTGCTGCAAACTCTCAAAAATCTCACTCACTGCAAAGGCCAAAACTCCGAAGGCAATGCAACCGAGTCAAGGTGCCACCATGCACAGCTCCTTCGCATTTAGTGACAAAGCCCGGCCGCACTTGATCAACTTCATCACCATCGCTAAGATGGTGACCTTGAGCTGCATTAGCGACGCTTTTCGGTTGGGTCATTACATGTATATATTGCAGAGGCCTCAGCAAAACAAAGGCCATGTGCAGGGGGTATAATGTACTCTAACTTAGATATTATGTAGGCACGGTACATGGCAACTACTGGTCACTATGTGGGCCGCGATCTTATTCAACTATAACAACTAATCCCGGTAACAGCCGAAATTGAACCTGGGGCTGGCCACAATTCAATGAAGCATCAAACCCAGGGGAGCGATCCAGGACATGGCCCCAGACGCTTGAGCCTTGGATGGATTCACAAGTATCGATGCAGGCAAGTGGCCGAAATCATGCGCGCGCCTCTGTCCCAAAATCCGGATGCTTCGATGCTTGTGTTTTATATGGCCTAACTAGACCGGTTGAATTCCTGGCCCCGGCCATTCGGCACACGAAGTGTGTGGATAGCAATGACACAGTTGATTTACGTGTTCGTCTCGTGCCACCAAGCCCCAACCACGCAATCAGCCTACATGCCAGAGTCATCAAGAGTGGTCAACCGCGCAGCATGCGACGACAGTTTCTTGAAGCAATAGACTATGCCTATGCGACGATAGTTGCACGACCCATTTTGAGGGGATGGCTCTAGTCTTCAGGGCGGGGGTCATCGCGACGTCATGAGAAGTCCAACCATGATGCATCATTCATGCCCTAAGTTTGACTGCAACATGAGTGTCATTTCTCCCAGGGGAGTTCACGTTTCGAAGCAGGGACATTAAGACTACTTGCTTGAAGCAATACGTAAGTGAAGCTGAAGATGCCGGATCGCTGAGAACTCTCCGGCTGCGGGCAAACACGACTCGTATCCGAACATACTTCTGGGACATGACTCTTGAAACAAATGCATCTTGGTGAGAGATGTGACAGCTTCTGTGTTTGTGAATGGGTGCCGTCGCGAATCCGTGATGCTACGGTCTTAATCTTGAAATCCTATCGCCGGTTTACCCCCCCTGACATCTTTGCCAAGATGCCCACGATGCACACCTGAGCGGAGGACGTGTGGGCTTTCCGTCCCCATGGACCCCCGACTTGCTAATCCGAAATTTATCTATACAGTGATGTAGTTTGGTGTATCCTGCCTGCGCTGACGAGTGCCGTTTTTGGCCTCCGACAGGCTTTCATTATCCCAAAACCCTATAATCTATAAACTCACAAAGCATACACTGGAAGCCGGTCTTTCAAAATTTAAACTTTCAACCTTTCACCCTTGATAATCGCAACTTCAAAAATCCTTCGAACTCCGAACTCTCAGCTTTGAGCGCCGACCGCTCGGCCGTGGCTAAAGCTTGGGGTAATTATGAGTTCGAAGAAACCTACAGCACAGGGTTTGCACGAAGCACCAATCCCCCGCCGTCCTCAACCCTTATTTTGCCACTCTTGTGCCCGCCTGGCTCTCAGAGCTGCTGCACTCTGGCAGAAACCCTAACCCCTAATCCCAACACGACAAAAACCCAGCTCCTGTCATAAAGGCACTCCAGGCGAGAAGAGGCCTTAAACACAGCCGCCGACCTGGCCTCTGTTTTGCTTATCGTGCGATGGGTGCTCTGATGCTGCTCTTTTATGTTTCGCACAAAAATCGTTGCATCGCTGTTGCAAAGGTTGTTGTCGTCGTTGCTGCGCCGGTTTGGGGTTCCTTGTCAACGCTGCAGCTGTGACTGGTAACTTGTATGGCAAGTTCCTCAAGCCTTGCATCGCAGGACTCATTATTGCCCTGGGTCGTACTGCACTGAGTTGAGACTGGCAAAGCTCTGCAAATGAATCTGCCAGGTTGCGATGTAATAAACGATCAGGTGGAACTGGAAGCCCACGTCTGATCCCTTGGAAATCGCAGGCCAAATTGGGTTTATGCAACATTCAGTCGAGATTGCTTAAGGTCTTTAGTGCATCACGAAGTACCGAAGTACTCTTGATGCTGCTACGTTTAAAAATGCCAGTACTGTGTTTGCCGTACACGCTACATGTAGCTGCTGTTGTTCTTATCAGCTTACTCAGCTTACCATCAGTGGTGTGAACCATGGCGGCCCGGCACTCCGCAATCCTGGCGTCAAGCGCCCTTTCTTCGAAGGTTGACCCGGCCTCTGAGGTGTAGGCAACGGCTGTCAACCCGAAGTAGCCAAAGACCACACCTCGAGCATCAAGGTTTATGAACTTCACAGACCATGCGGGGAGTCGGGATGACTTGCAGACTGAAGTGTCGGAGCAGTTAGACCCTCGGCATGCGAGTGGGCTTCCAGGTGCGTAATTACTCATGATGGTGTAGGCCGACACGGTTGAATATGACCCGCAGCAGCTTTTTTTCACTTTGCAGGTTTTCGAGGAATTTGATGGGCAAGGGGGACTTCGTAGGAAGTTTGTTCGTGGCGTAACGGCACTTTCTGCCAGCTTGCACTTGGGGGGCGGTCTGCGCCTCCCATCAACTGTACAGCCTCAAGATGGGGGGTGGTTCAGAGGATGCCGCGAAATCATCCGGGTCGGACGAAGACGGCGGCAACACAGACCCCTGCAAAATAAACCTGGAGGTATCTCAACAGATACATGCCGGACACATCCGGACACCCTCGAAGCGAAAGCGAAGGATGGGAGGCTGAGTTCGAGATTGATGCAACACTGATTTTCGTTCATGTTTATGTTTCGTTTCAACTTGCAGAACCGGCCATGGGAGAAGCTTTCGAGCCTGGAAGCAATCAAGACCGAGCATTGACAAAAGGGAGAACTTCTGAACTGAACTCACCCTTGCCATGCTTCAAACATATACCACCATGCACACGTATGCGCAGGACAGTCGAAAAGCTTTTTTGTCATGGTCATTTCGGAGTCTCCAAAGCAAACGTAGACATAATCTTTTCGCGCGAGAACCCACGTTCCCTGTATTGAGATGCCCTACACAAAAACAGTGGGGACGTTTCGACTCTCGCACCTTACACAATCCAGGCGAGGTGTCTGAGTAGCGGTAGTCATCTGGCAACTCTACATTTACATGCAGCCAATGTCTTGCGCGCCTAAGGATTGAGCCCCAGCCCTTCCCCGAAGTGTTGTAGTCCAGCTACTTTCCGCCATGTACGCCATGAGCTCGGCAAGCTCGCCTTTGGAACTTTCCAGGGTTTCCGGGCCAGTCCCTTTTGTGCCTCCTACCTAGCTAAGACGAGCCCGCATTGCAGGGTTAAGTCAGAGAGAACAAGAGAACGAGGGTTTAGGGCTTCCACGAGTGTCTAAACTTGGTGAGCGAGAAGCAAAACTTCTTCGGGAGTCTATCGTCCTCTCTGAGTTCATGAAACCACACTCAAGCAGACCTCTGATGATGGCAATCACCCACCGCAGTTCATCCGCAACTCGTCATCAAGAAGTCCAGCACTATCATCAGCATCATGCTCATCGCGCACATATTTCAGAGAATGGCAGAAACATGCAACAATGGCCGTTCCGACAACAAACCTGGGGGTGGAGGCTGGTAGTAGTTGGAAAATGAGTGACATCAGTGACAGAGGTCGTAGTGGTGTTCGTGGCAGAGGCAACAGCGCCAGCAGCAGTGCAAAAAGTAGCGTCAGCAAGGACAACATGGCGACGCTAGTAGCGCGCTTTTGATGCTAGTACGAACAAGCAACGCAGACATACCATGCGCAGCTTCAGGGGTTATGCCTACAAAGAAGCATAGTAGCATAGGATAACAATAAGGAACATGTAACGACAAAGAATCGACTAAGCACCCGAAGGCCGCCTGAAACCCCTGGAGGTGTTCATGCCAAAGCGGCTTGTGAACTCTTGAGCTTCTGGCGAGAGCCTTGCTTGGGGGGCGCTGTTGGGTTTCGGACCCTGTACCTTTCGAGAGGTTGGCCTTATTTAGCCTTCAGTGTGATAATGAGGGTTCTTAAGGTGTTCAGGGGTCTTCAGGGTTTGGGGGAGCCCGACGAGAGCCTAGGGTTGCTTAAGGATGTGGACTTTGGGGTTTGTTTCCTCGAGCCAGAACTAGAAGGTTGCCCCATCAAAAACCTGTAGAAAAGACACATCCAAGCAAGCTGCAATGCTTCACAAAGCGAACAGCTCTTAAACGCCGGTGCCAGCGGCAGAGCACTAAATCTTGGTGTCCTTGCAGCCTGGCAGCCCATGCTGGGCATAGTGGCCACTGAGGACAGAACACACAAAGAGGGCAAAAATTGAGGAGAACTCGCACAGCTCTGTCCTCAGCACAGCTTTGCAGGTATAAGGCCGACAAAGCAGGAAGCACTCTGGCAGGGTCTGGCATCCTGCTTGTAGAATAACGAATAATGCCAGCGTGTCTTCAATAGACAGCCGAAACCTCGTGGAGAGCGGAATGATGGCGATCTGAATTCTCACGCAAAAATCACACTCGAGTTGCCATTGCACAGCGTTGAGCAACAGCTTTGCCATTTCTGCTGCTGCGAAGAGAACGACCATTCCTTCTGCAGACTGCTACCTGCTGCTGAATGATGGTGAGTGGATTCATCACAAACCCGAAACTGATGCACTCACGAATGGCAACGGCGACTGTACCCAACCATCGTGCCAAGCTTCAGAATGTAGCCTGGGCTTGCGGTGCTTGAGAGGTAACTGATGTTCATGCTATGGCTCCTCCGACTCCTCCTGTTGCGCCTAAACGCGATTGCAACAACAACTATTTCTACTACTATTGAGCACTTGTACCAGGATCTCCAACAACAAGGACTAGGGTCTTGGTGTTCGACAGTCATGCAAGACACAGGCCCAATCGGATTCCATCGTTCCACGTCTTCGACGCACTTAACGAAGCGCACTTTTTTGGTCGGAGCTCAGGCAGCACAAAGCGTCAGAGGCCTAATCAGCCTTTGCCCGAAGGTCGAGAGCATCGGGTTCAAACTGGGGCACGCTTCAGGGGTTGTAGCTCAGTGTCCTAGTCCCCTGTAAGATTTCCATGTGCGTTGCTAAACTCGCAAACGCTGCTACCCTTCCAAGACTGAAGCAGACAGCCAACCAAACTGTCTGCCGGTGTTTTTGTGGACAAACAACAAGGTACGAGACGAGGTCTTGAAAGCGCACGTTATAAACAAACCCAAAAAAACAGATTAGAATTGACAACAATTGCCTTGTCACAAAACAAGATTCTGCTACAGGAACTGCGAATATGAGTCTGTCATCAAAGCCTGAAGGAACCCCCAAACAATTTGTATAGGTAATTATTATTGAGGCCCCCATAGTACTCGGCAAGGCAAACCGGAAACACATCGGAGGTGCGGAGCTACAGCCAAATCGCTTGCCCGAAGCTCGAAGCTCGAAACCGACAGCTCTGGGCCGAAACTCTCTGCACGGATGACAGGATCTGTGGGCTCTCGTGACTAACTAAACCCTAAACCCTAAACCCTAAACCCTAAACCCTAAACCCTAAACCCTAAACCGTAACTCTGCAAATCACAGAATCCGCTTCTTGACGGTCAAGGCATAGAGGTTCCTCGGTGTGGCATGCAGTAGACTCACAAGAGTTATGATCCACACCGGAGAGGCTGTTCTAGGCTCCAAGCTAAAAAACCCCATTCAAACTCCGAGCCACTCATGGCCTTGCCCTAAACCCTGAACGACTCCACCCCCCAAAGACCTAAACGCACCAAGCAGCAAGCTGTCAACGATGAAGTTCCTTGGCTGGCGGCGTTCCGCGGAGGGTTTAGGCACCATTCTGTTGAAATATCACAAACACCCTTGAGCAGCCCAACTAACTAGAAATTTCCGTCTTGAACCTGGCTGGATGCCCCTCTTGACCCTAAAGCCTTTTTCCGCAGGCCTGAAGCTTAAACCTGGAAGTTCAGCGCAAGCAAAGCTTCATCGTCTCGTGCGTTGCGTTGCACCAACGCTCGTCCGGGCGAATCTCGCCTTGAAGGGCCTCCGGAATGTTTCGGCGCTCATGCTCGGACTTTGGCTTTTGAATGTGACTCCTGCCTGGACTTGGATAGCTTGGGAGGTGATCGGAACTCTGAGCCCTTTTGTGTCGGACATCGTCTTGCTTTGGGCTTGAGGCTCCTTGGGGGTCCCTATTGAGGACTTAAAGGGCTTTGGGGATCAGGGTTTAGCGGACTAAAAGGGGCATGCAAGAAGCAGGCTACCACACTTACCGTAGCTTAGCTACGTTTCGTGTTCTGATCGGCCGAAACCTGCAATCGCGCGGGAACGTCTGTATATGTACATTGTAGGCCCAAATGAGCCTGCATCTTTAATTTTAAATGCAACCATCGCAGCCATGACAGCGCAGGGCCTTCTCTTGTACGAAGGTCTCGCAGTCACGGATCAAAGCCAGGTTGGTGTGGTTCACTGCATAAGAGCCTGAGATTTTGGTTCACATCTCTGACTGTCGGGGATTGGAGTTTAGGGGCTTGGGCCTGGAGACTGATATGGCATGGATATTCAGGAATCGGCTAAACCGCTTTGCAGCAGCTTAGGAGTGGCGCCTCGGTTCCAGGTTTTCCCAAGCAACCTCGACGGGAACTATATTGGGAACCGTCTGAAGGCGACAAGCACGTGATTCAACGCACGTTCACTTCGCACGGGTACCGACCACATGGATGGGGTGCAGAAGTGCGAGAGCAAACCGCTTCGCCTGAAACACACATGCCACAGCACCTGAATGCTTTCCCCGGTTGCAATCCAAAATCCTAAGCAACGAGGACCTAAGGTTTTTTGTCCCTTAATTGGGGTTATAAGTTATAAGTATAGTTACCCCAATTATAACCCTACTTACTATGACAGGTCGTTCGTTTGTGGAGAACGCAGGGCTGGATCAGTGCCCATGCACGAACTGATGGGCCCAAAGTCCGACGATGGCCGAAACTGAAAGCCTCAGCGAGTAGCCATCGTGGGCCTACGGCGAAGGCTAACTTCGGGAATGCTGCGAATATGAGAAACTTCATAGGGTCAGAAGTTATCCAAACAGCCCCAGAGTTGGGGGCTTCCACTCCGCACCAACTTGTCCTAGTCTCCCGTCGCCATCACTGACCCTTCTTTGCAGACTTTACCCCAAGATGTCGACCAAAAGCAACACCTTCACCAAACCCTGCAACCATGAGAAATGAACAGCCCCAAAACTCCCTCAACCTTCGCACGGCCAGCGGCAAATGATCGCGAAGTTGTCAACCTGAGAGAACGATTGGCCCAATGCCCAAACTAGGAACCGTGGAAGCAAGCACCTGACGGAAGTAGCCGCGAAGAAGGGCATGTGATTCAACGTAGCAGTAAGGGCTGTTCCAACGCCGCAACATGAAGCCCTCGAGCCCAAAAAATTCCCCAAAAGCTATGCAATCCAGATTGACGGCGCCCCAACTCGGAACCCTAAACCCTAAACTCTGAAGGTGAGCGTCCGCCATCCGGCTCCTCATCTGGGATAACACTCCGGGGATCATGCGGTCCACCTGCCAACAGCTCCGAGGAACAAGGGCTGTAGGGTCAGTGTTAGTGTTACTATTGTTCGTAGGTGTATTGGTACCGGTATTGACTTGGTATTTGTTTTTCAGTGTTGGCATGACTTTGGACACTCCCGCTGAAAAGTGTCCAAAACGACATCGGACGACAAATGCCTTTCTTGTCCGCACTGGGCTGCACTTTGCGCCGGCCTGGTCTCAGCCATGCTGCAGTTCTTGTACCGCCTTTAACCCTGCATCGCTGTTGCAATCGAGGCTTCTGCCTTTTCCAAACGCATGTTACCATACACGCCCTTCAGGGACACGGAGCTCATGAAACCGGTCATGCAAGCGTGATAGCTCGCAGAGATTCCACATACGCGGGGGCCCACTGAACCGTTGCCAACGAACAGTTTCAACACATTACCCGATTACAAGTGTGTTTCTCCGAGCAATAGTACGCTGTCTTCCAGCACGACACACCCAAGTTTTGCCCAATGCGATGCTGAGGACTTTGTCGCTTCTGGTCTTCTTTGCCCGGCCATCGAGAAGCTGAGAGAAAGTTCCGAGTCTTGTCTCCAGAGTTCGGGCAGGGGTGTGTGTGCGAATGAAATCTCCTTGCCTGGTACTTGTCCGCCATCTCAGCAACAGTGACGAGGTCTTGGCAGCTGCACTCCTCCTCTGGAAAGCATCCGCTGTAAAGCCTGACCAAACGTGCATTTGCTCTGAGGTAGCTTCCCGCCCCTCTGCCCTCCCCCGATGATCTTCAATGATGAAGCCAGTGATGGCGATGATGGAGATGATGATGAAGCTGATGATGGTGTTGATGATGATGATGATGATGATGATGATTACGACAGCTACTGCTGCTTCTACTGTTATTGTCATGCTTATCGTTGATTTCTGGCGTCGTCGGCATGCTGGATTGCTCTTGTTCTTATGATCTGCGTTACACCTGCTAGGTCGCCCGAGATAAAGCCCCGTACGGGACAAACGCGCATGATGCTGCGTCTCAGTCTCCGTCTGTGTGTGTGTGTGTGCGCGCTAGGTAGTTTGTTCTAGTTAGCTAGTGAGCTAGTTAGGTCATCAATTAGCTAGCTAGTTGGTTGGTTAGTTAGAAATTGGATGGTTATTTAGGTAGGTAGGTAGGTAGGTAGGTAGGTAGGTAGGTAGGCAGCCAGGCAGGCAGGCAGGCAGGAAGGGAGACAGGCAGGTAGGCAGGCAAGTAGAGGTAGAAGATCGTGAGGAGTCGTCTGGCAAGACCTCCAAGCCCGAGCTGATAAGTTCCGCGGCATACCTAAGAAGACCCCAATCATGCAAAGCCCATAGCTCTGCTCTTTCCCTGTCTGCCGTGCCCCCAACTACTTCTACCGGCGAAGAGCAGCGAGAGGAAGGTGTTCAAGGCAGCCGGAGGCTCATCCAAGATGATGCGATGGTTCTCACCTCAGGCAGTCTTGGTCATAGTAGCAGTGGACGCAGCCGCAGATAGAAGGAGCAGAAGCTCAACACAAAAATTCGTTATGTTGCTTCTACATGCTCCAGCTGCAGTTCCTTCTCTGATGCACGCATCCAGAATGAGAAAGTGCTACCGAGGCAACGTTCGAACCGACAAGGCAGATCCCAGCTCTCAATCGAGACCCGTTCGACTCCAGAACCCTGCAGAGCTAAGCAACGTGCAGAGCAGGTTGCCCTGGCCCAACAGAACCCCCATCCTCAAGTCCTGCGAGAGTGGAGAAGCGCGAGCCCCCTCCGAAAAGCTCGCAGCCGAGTCGCCTTCTTGCCATGCCTGGCGTCTTGTCTAGCTGTCGATATTTCACACTCGAACCAGTGCTGCAAGCAAACTGCCGCAGCAGCAACAGCAACAGCAGCACCACCGCCAGCACCAACAGCACCAGTACTGCAGCAGCAACAGAATGTGTCGAGACCACGGCTTCTTGGAATGTTGGTTTCAGGGATTGCCTGGACCTTCCAGGCTTGCGGCTGAGAGAAAAAGAAATAGACCATCAACCGAGTAGCCACACCAGCACCGGAACAAACGCCATGCAAGAAATGAACCAGGGGTCACAACCCAAACGCCATGAATTCCCCCACAAGTCTTCCTGGCCTTGTTTGTCAACATCGCTTTGAAAACCTTCGTTGTGTTGGGCCAGGGAATATGGCTGAGCCC